CTCTCTCTCTCTCTCTCTCTCTCTCTCTACGTAGTGCACGTTTCATTTCAGTCACGTTGATCCTTGTATTTTCCGTTTTTTTTTTCAGCACTGAAAAACTGCCCATCCGAGTCCTCGAATATTCCGACACCCAATATAGGCTTTTCGAAAGTAATTATGTTTACTTTTATACTCTTACGCGCCGATTACTTTCTAATTATTTTCATTCCACTACGTTGCGCATCCGTGCTGTCGCTCGCTGCGTATCCTCAAGATACAGTCCGACCATGTTTTCCAGGCGATGTCCGGCTTCATCATGATGATGACGCAGCAAGGAAAATTGTTATATATATCGGAAAACGCGGCGGACTACCTCGGCCATTCTATGGTAAAGTAATTCCGTTGATAATGCAATCGCCGAGCGAATAATCCGCGCTCGCGCAAAGGGGCCACGTGCGCACGCCAGCCGCGAAGTGACGCGTATCGTGATAAGACGGACGATTTTCAGGAAGACTTACTCATCCATGGGGACAGCGTGTATGATGTGATCGACAAGCAGGACCACATGGTGGTGCAAAATCAGTTGTCCAGAAACAGTCCGGTTCCTAGCGACAGGCGGCTATTTCTCTGCCGCATCAACGTGTCGAGAAATTCCCGCCGGCAGTTGCGCTTCGGGGACCAGAAGGTGATTAAAGCATAATTGCGCCAATTGTTTTCGGTGACGACAACCTGTCCTCCTGTGCTCCTCGCGCGCGCGAATATCCGTCGCATCTTCCGCGTGATGTGCTCTCGGTTGTTCACAGGTGGTCCTCGTGGAGGGTCATTTCCTGCCGTTTGTGCCCGTCTGCAATCGCAACGAGTTCGTCTTCTTGGCCTCGTGCACGCCGGTGGTCCTGCCGGAGACCCGCGAGAGTATCGTCCAAGGCGCCACGAACATCTTCACCACGATCCACTCGATGGACATGAAGTACCTGCATATCGATAAAACGTAACGTCTCGAGCGAGTGCGATATTAAGACACTAGGACTCGTGTCCGCAGAGAAGAATCTCCTCTTATCCTTGATAAATTGGGAATCTCTCTTTGCAGAGCGGAGAGTCATCTGGAATACAGTCGAGCCGAGCTGGTCAACGTGTCATGGTACAACCTACTTCACTGGGACTCTATAAGAACGGCTTACTGCAAGCATCAGACCGGTAAGTCCGATCATGAAAAATCCTTGCGTCAATCGGCCAAACAAAAGTCCTCTTATCGTGCCTGATTGTCTTCCACGAGCCAATTCAATCAGCGTCGCAATGTCTCGGCAAGGATGCTTCGTGTCGCTTCCTTTAAATGTTACAATTCCTCGCTCGATCTCTCGATTACAGTCATCCAGTCTGATCAGGAACGTTCCACAACCGCCTTATTGAGGCTACAGAGTCGCTCCGGTAGATGGTTCTGGGTCCACTGTGTGCTGCAGGTCAAGGACACCTCCGACGAGTGTCAGCATCCCATTATCGTGTGCACGAACCAAGTTCTCACGTACGTTCCATCGCTGACTTTGATACTCGTCGCGTCAAATTCGAGCGACGTCGAATTCCTCCGGTCGATGATTTCAGTCGATTTTCCCGAACCTGAAACGAATTTCGTTTGATCAGCGTTTGGTCCTCCACCAGCGTCACGTACACACACACACACACACTCTCACACTCACCCACATATGCGAACGTAATTGTTACAGCGACAAGGAAGCGGAAGTGATGCGCTCCAGTTCGTGGCTGTACCAGTACTCTTCCCAGACCAAGTTCACATACGGACTTTGTCCCGGGGGTCAAGGTCGCGGCGGGCTGTACCAGTCGACAGGGCAATCTGGCGGCAATCAGCCGCAGGACTACGTCCGCGCTGCGTATCCTCACGAAGCCGACGCTCAGCATTCGCCGTCGCTGCGCCCGGATCGCATCGAGGCAGAGTCGCATGGATCCACGAAGAGCACGCAGGCGATGGACTATCCCAGCAGGCGTCTGTTACTGCGGGACGATGTGGAGCCGGTGGACATGTCGATAAGCGGCGTGGAGCAGCAGCACGAGGGCAGCCGAGCTGTCCATGGTGCGGTGCACCAGCAACAGCAACAGCAGCAGCAGCAACAGCAGCAGCAGCAGCAGCAGCAGCAGCACACCTTGGACGACCCGGTGAGGTACCACAAGCAATACCACAAAAGCTCGCTGCACTTGGCTGGCTATAGAGCCAAGTTCGTACAGTGCCATGGCCAGTACGCGAGTAGCGCGGACATGCTGTCACCCGGCAACAAGTATTACCTTACCGATCTCGACCGAGACTACTGCTGTGCAGAACGTAACAGCCTGTTGCTGCACAAACGGCTGCCCGCGAAGACGCTGATCGCGCCGTCACCCTCCGGCCAAGGCAGCACGGCCGCCGCAGGTGGCTCCGCGGCCGAATCGGCGGAAAACACGACCATGGAGAGCTGGGGTGCCAGCCCGGCATGGTCGGACGCGCTGCAGAGGGTGCCGGACGTGGTGCACCAGGAGCTGAGCCCGTACATCACCACGCCTACGACACCGGTCAACACGCCCGACTCGGAGCTGCACTCGGACGCGCCGATCTTCAATTTCGACTGGGCCGGTGAACAGCATGTGCCCAACCTGAAGATCACCTTCCGCAGCACAGCCGCTACCGCAGCAGCTGCCGCCGCCGCCGCCGCCGCGGCCGCAGCCGCCACCGGTCATCCTGCGCAGACTAGGAAGCACCAGGACGTGCAACCGATCACGCTACAGTTACCACGTAGGAAGGGTCAGTCCGCGGACGACGGCAAGGACTTTGCGAAATGAAGAACTGGCATTCGTGAGAGCGACTCGCCTTCTCCTCGTGTAACCGCGTGTAGTCTGAAGAGGGACACATGATATAAAGCAAGGACTCGGCGCGTAGAAGCGCGACGATATCCAAATAGTTTCTCTTCTCCTTTCTTTTTCTCTTTCTTTAACAAAACATTCAAGGATGAGAAAGAGGCGTGGGAAGGGACTGGGATAGGGTCTGCTGCTCGAGAACACGATAGGTGTGTTCGGAGAGAGAGTCTCGTTCACGTACGTGTGTGTTTTGTCACAGACAACGGAGTATATTCTTCCAAATTCTATCGGTATCGCCTCTTACATAATCTCTAGACGCTCGTATGTTTTTAATCTTTTTCGCATGCTCCCCCCTCCCCCCCCCTCTCTCTCTCTCTCTTTCCCTCCTTTTCTCTCACACACTCGCTCACACTCACTCACTCATTGACTCACTGGTTCTCGCCCCTACGCGCACACTTTCACTCCACTCTTTCTTTTTTCTTTTTTCTTTTTTTGGCGTGTTATATATCCTCGAATCGTAAATTTCTCATTAATATAAAACACGTATATAAACATAGACTGATTACATCGGTGTTTACAATAATCTACGATTAAAAAAAGTCGTACATCGTTTTCGTTCCTCTCCGGTATACACGCTTATGCGAGAACATTCGTTTGAGATAAATTACACGCATCGTACGCGTATATTTCAAGTGTATATATATATTTATATATATATATATATATATATTTATATATATAACTATATATGTATGAGTGTGCAGTGTCGTAGAGGGTACCCAGGTACATGCGCTATATATGTTGAGGATTTTCCTTTGAAAAATACCTAAATCTTATCGTTTAACATACGTGAACCGTGAAATACTCGCTTTGTACATTTTAACGCATTCGACGAAGGAAAATTTCTTTGCGCAACGCGTGTGTCGTGTGTTACATTTACGTCTCGACGTGATACTACGGAAACAGATAAATCAGGAGAGGCAGTCGTAATCGTTACGTAGCATAGCAATAGTAGTAGCAACAACAGCAGCGGCGGCAGCAGCAGCAGCAGCAGCAGCAGCAGCAGCAGCGACAACAGCAGCAGCAGCAGCAGCAGCAGCTTCTACCGGTTTTCGCGTACGTCCTTTTGTCGTATTTTAGCGCGCGATAAGCATCCTCTGGCAATTTCGCGTTATCGACGTCTCGATCGCGGGTCCAACGCCGACCAGGAAGTTAATCGTGCATCGTGTTTTCGTGAACTCTCGTGTGCGACCTGTAATTTAGTCGCAACTAACCTCTCTCCTCCTCCTCCTCCCCTCCCCCTCGATACGTCTTCTTGATCTACGCGTGCGTGCGCGCGCGCGGTTACGGATCTTTTATCGTTAAAGATAATTAAATGAATAAGTATAAATAAAGTATTACGCAGAGTGTATCTCCAATGCGAAGCCGAACCTTGAAGATATGTTCTGGTGTTGGAATAAGTAAAAAAAAGAAATAAAGATTTTGCATACATGTGTAAACGGTTTCAGACCGTTTTCTTTCTTACAACCCGGAGATGTTGCAATTTTTCTCTCGAGATAACAGAGCGAAGGTACAAAGAGTACGCGGTGTATCTGCGCTGCGCGTCAATACTCCCGCATCGTTGTATCGAGTATTCCCGACGTGATTTCGTATTTCACGCGTATGTAGAAATCGCGAATTCGACAATAAGAATGTGCCTTTTAAGCATTGAAAGGAAAGAAAAAAAGAAAAAAAGAGAGAAGAAACTGGCGAGGAACGGTACGTTCGCGTATCTCGACGTCGTGTCCGCGCTACGAAGGAGTCACGTGCAACAGAAAACGTTGAGCACTGTCGCGCTCTCACACACCACACACATACACACACACACACACACACACACACATACACACACATGTACACACAATTCGCATCTTTCGTTCTTTTATCGCGTTTATTCGCGTTTTAGATTCGAGGTTTTTTTTTTCGATATTCGACGCGACTCGCTAGGATTTGCGTCACGCAAGATCGAATCGCGCGTGAGATCGGCTCTATAAAGGTAAAAAAATATCACCGAGTCCTACTGCTATTCCTTTCCCTTCGTGTGTTCTGCGGTGAAACCGCGCTCAAAACTGCCGCGAAACGCGAGAAATGATATTGATATTTATATATATGTACATCCCCCCCTCTCTATCTCACGCACATGTCTGTCTCTTTCTCTCTTTTTCTCTGTCTATTTCTCTTTCTTTCTTCCTGTCGCTCTCTAAAACTGGTTCCTCGTGCATGACATGCTTGTTGCGTTGCTCTTGTACTAAGGTTTTACGGTATAACGAACGAGTTCCCAAACATCAGCTACTAATACGCGCGTGTAGTAAATATATTCTATATGCGCACCACAAGAGAATCTCGCATTTAGAATCATCAACATTTACGGTAAGAAAAATGCTCTTATTAAATTCACGTTATCACGAAGAGAAACACATCGACCCCTTACGCGCGCGTCACGCATCAGGAAGCAGCGCGATCGGCCGCGAAGAATCGGCCGCTACAAATCGGCCGGTGCAAATCCCCGTATCAAAAGTGTCCCCGAACAATGAATCGAAATAATACGTCGGTTAATTGTACTCGTTTGAATTGCGTTTCTCGCCGATACACGTGACGGTCGCGTACGGCCCGCGCGTTCAGCCCGATGTATGTATGTACCCAGGTTTGTTCGTGTATCAACGGTTACCGAGTTCGTCGTCGAGTTCCGTCCTCGCTTGTTGCTGGCTGCTACACACGTGCGTTACGTTATACAGGCTGTCGCCTCGAGAGCCGTGCGTTCTCTCTCGTCCGCGAAGATACCCGGCGATTAATTGCCAGTAATTGCATATATCGCGGATGAGCGAGCCAGCGAACGAGCGAGCGAGAGTAGGGAGCAGCGCGACTTTCGTACGATGCCTATATATCTCGTGTGTATATATATATGTGTGTATATATATATATGTATATATACATATACATATATATGCATGTGTGTGTACGTGTGTGTATGTCTGCGCGGATGTATGTACACACACACACACACACACACACACACACGCAATTAATGTATCTCCACGAGTACTTTTCGCGACACTGCACCGTGTATATGTGTATGTTGATTGCGCGAGAGTGCATGTTTAGTGTGCGTGGGTATTTTGTACAAGGTACAAACGCACGCGTGCCGACGCGTGCATAGGAACGTCGAGCTGCGCTCGTGCAGCAATTATGTTTCTCGCTTGAGTGAAGAATGCGTGATAACACGCAAAACTAGGGACGAGAGAACGTCATCAGGTTACTTGCTATATGTACTCTGGAATATCCGTCCCTCTCTCACAGAAACGAAAAGAGAGACGGGGGGAGTCGATTGGAAAATTGTTCGACCGGTCAACCCCCGCATATCGCGAACAGCGTTTAGAGACGTCCTCATTTGTTATTATATGCTAACGTCTTGCGTAGCGGAGTCGCAGTCTGAGGAGGGTTAATCGTCGGTTCCACCGGAGATTAATACGTACGCGAAGAAACACGCAAGGCGAAGTAACGATCGCGTGTACGATCGCGGGGAAAAAAAAGGAGACGCGTCGTTACTACGCGACAATAATACCTGGTCGTAATAAGACCTGGTCGTGTTCGCGTCGAGAGAGTTGTGAGATTATGATCAAGCAACTATATTCTCGCAGTCTTTGAAGTCACTATAGGCATGTCGGCGCGCGTACGATTGACTTTGATTACTTTACGAGCCTTCATCTCGATCGCTAAAGTCGTTTATCGCTCGACACAGTGCTTTTATTTTATCTTTATTTTACGTCACTGGTTTTTTGTCTCTTTTTTTGTTTTCTTTTTTCCTCCTTTAATTATTATATAACTATATATCTTCGGTATCGTTTCTCAATAGCTTCGAAAGTTGCGCTACGATGTTCCTCCCTTTCGCGCCCACCTTCATCTCGTCTTTTTTCCTCCCGCTCTCTTTCCACGCCATGTTATAATCTTGGTATAATTTTTTAAAGCTTCGTTTGGCACATATAATTAGAATGTTATGTTTAGTTTACGGAAGAATTCGATTTAGTGTAATCTCTCTCTCTCTCTCTCTCTCTCTCTCTCTCTCTCTCTCTCTCTCTCTCTCTCTCTCTCATTCCCTCTCTTCCTCCTTCCTTTTCACTCTATCTTTCTCATTCTTCCTTCTTATAATCACTAATAATCCTCTCGTGCTTCCGTATATCCTCTTTGTCTATGTCTTTGCTCTCAGCCACTTGCTCTCTCTCTCTCTCTCTCTCTCTCTCTCTCTCTCTCTCTCTGTCTCTCTCTATCTCGTTATTACATTTAAACACATTCATTTACAGTTTTACATTTCGCTACGTCGTAAAATTTACATCGAGTGTTCACATCGCCCGTGGTTTGAACGACGTTACAAAGATTATCGTTATCTTGTCGATATTTTATATACTTAAATAAGTTCTTGTGCGGTGTAGCTTGTCTTCTTTCGTTCAACACTCCGGTCGCAACGTCGCCATCGTCCATCCGGCATCGCTCACTCTCCTTCACTTTACGTACGTGCGAGAGCAGGGCGACGTTTCCGGACGCTTGACGGACTCGAGGCTAACGATGGCGAAACGCGCGCCGAAGAGCACCGGTACATCCCGAGTATACCGGAGGCGTAATACAATTCCGAGTACGCGCGACTCACGGCGACGCGTCGCTCGGATAGATATTAATGAAATCTATTTTCATATTCATGGCAGTATCCACGTCGCGTTACTTGTGAAACTTGGAGACCGGGCTGCGTGCGTTTTGACTAGCTTTTCGCCAGCTGGCTCGCGTCATCCCCCAATCTGCCCATTCTTCAATTTCCCAATCTCGAAGTGAGATAACGGATATACGGTATACGACGTCGATAATAGTCGATCAGAGACGCTCGAGCGGGACCGAGCAACCGTCAAACGGATGAGCTGAACTGAGAACCCCCGCGGTGGGAAAACAACGTTTCCCTCCACGGGAGGTCCGCGACCCAAAAAGGGTGAAGAACCACTGGCTCGTTAAGAATTCACGTTCCCCGATACGGACAATCGATACGCGTACCGCCGAAATTCGAGATTATCTGGGAATATTGCAGACAAACACAAACTCGCGTGCGTACTAGTCGCGTTTACATTGCTTTCCGTCCGTGCCCGTGTATCGTTAACCCCCCGACGAGAGGATACATTGATTCATTATTAATTCTTTTTACACGTTAATGGACACCAACGTAATCACAACGCGGCATAACAGCGTTAGAGGTATTAAACTCCGACGTTACGTCGGCTGCGAGAGAAAGAGAGAGAGAGAGAGAGAGAGAGGGGGGGAGGGGGGAGAGAGAGAGAGAGAGAGAGAGAGGAGGGAGGGAGGGAGGGAGGAAGGAAGAGAGACGTAAAGAGAGATAATCGAATCACTCTCTAACGCGATCGCCAATTAATTCATTCGTTCTCGGCTGAAAAATGCAGCCGTTCAGACGTCGCGGGAACAACGCGCGGTCGTCGAGGGGTTAATCTTTTCCGGCGATTCGAGGGCACCCTCGGCCGGCCGGTCAACGCCGGACGAGGGACGTTCTCCTCTTGCGACTCGCGAGCAGTCGATCGGACCCGGGGAGACGCGACCACGTGAGCGACCGGCGATGTCGATATAGGAACAGGGCGGTCTGGCAGTCACGAGTGCCAAACCCTTCGTCGCGGCAGCCGCCGGTCTCCTCGCCTCTCCATTTCGTACGCTCTGAGAAACGCGGTAAAAAGGAGATTAAAATAAACAGCGATATAGTAATAATCATAATCATAATCATGATCATCATAATAATGAAGCACTGATTTCGTGTCCTTTTCTTTTCTTTCCGCGCAATGTGATGCGCGCGCGCGCGCGCGCGCACGCGCGGTTGTTGACATCCGTTGATTCTCGACGATGTGAGAGCTCGGGGCGACGGCGGCGACAGGGGGAGTGGGAAAAAACTGCCGCGCGACGGTGAAAGTTACGCATAGCCCCGATGCTAATACCCCCGATGCTAGTAACCCCGGTCCACGGTACGGTTCCTGCTGTGCCACTTACACTTGAGAATTCTCACGTAGGTTCTACGGAATGCCGCGTTGCACAGCGCGTAACACATCGGGTTCACAGTACTGTTGATGTAGCAAAGGTAATAAGACATGTCCCACAGTTCCCGCGGTATGGAGTACTGGCAGCCGATGAGGGGCTTCACGAGGACTAGGATGTTGTACGGGGTCCACGTCATTATGAAGGCTAGCAGTATGGCCATCAGGGTCTTGGCGGCTTTCTTCTCCGTCTTCTTCTCCGTTTTCTTCTTGTTCGGCTGTTTGTTCAGTATGCCCTTGTCGACCTTTGCTATATTTTTCGCGTTCAGCGGGATCCTGATGTCTGGCATCTGCGACGGTCTTCTCAGCACCGACGACGGGCTCGGCGTTACGCCGCCAAGGCGAAAGACCTTGCTGGCACCGCCACCGCCACCGCCGCCGCCGCCGACGCCGATGCCGACGCCGCCGACACCGCCGACGCCGCCGACACCGACACCGACACCGCTGACACCGCCACCGCCACTTCCGCCACCGCCGCCGCCGCCGATACCGCCGCCACCGACGCTTCCACTGCCACCTCCGCCACCGCCGACACCGCTGTCGTCTTCGCTGTCCTCCATCATGCTGTGTATCTGGATCGACATGGAGTCGTCTTGAAACATTTTGATGCTGGTTCCCTCGCTGAACTTGCCGCCGTTGCTCGGTAATTTGATCAGAATCGTGTAAACCTGAAAGCACAGAGCAGGCAGACGCGTGTAGAGCAAGACTGCAATGGCGAACGCTATCGTTATCGTTGACGCGCGCGTTGATGATCACTTCCATCAGCCTTTTCGCCACGTTCAGAGTGTACTCAGAGTGCAACGACTCGTTCTGTATAGAGAGTCCCTGATATTCGAGCCTCGTCGTTGCCTCGGTCGTTGCTGTACTTGTCCGTGGAATTTTGCTCAAACGACTACTGAGAGAAGGAGGGAGGGAAGGAGGGAGGGAGGGAGGGAAGGAGGGAGGGAGGGAGGGAGGGAGGGAGAGGGAGAGGGAGAGAGAGAGAGAGAGAGAGAGAGAGAGAGAGAGAGAGAGAGAGAGAGAGAGAGAACTAGTGGCGTTTGTTTCGAAGAAAAATCGCTTAGCCGGAAGCCACTGCGCGGTGTGCTGCGTGCAGCAACGAAAATGTTGGGGAAAGAGGTGTGTGGCGAGTAAAAGTTTCGCTGTTCGACGATAAAGTACAACGCAACTTCTTCAGCATGGAGGTGACGCTCGTAAACGGGCAAACGGGCGGACGGGCGTTACGTACGGAATCGCTCGTGATGGTCTTCGTGACGGGATCGCCCGGGCGCATCGGCCTTTTGTACTCGTGCAACATCGCGCCCTTGTCCAGAGTGACTCCCGTGACCTGTATCGCACTTAGGGAGGGACACCGCGACACCGTGCTGGGAAGCGGCGTTTCGGCCGACAACGGCGTGAGAGCTTCCTCGTAGCCGGGCCCGGTGCGGCTGCTCTCCGGTCCTGCGATCTCCTCATCCTCATCCTCGTCGTCTCTTCCGCTGTGCCACCATGCGATGCACCACATCTTCAGCCAGGTCCAGGAGAACGGCCTGTGCTGCTCGTCGTACACAGAAGCGGAAGCGATCACAATCCGCTGGCGACTTTGCTTTGCCTTTGGCTTGTTCGAGGCTGCTGCTTCCTCGCGACGCATTCCTCCTGATTGATGACGTCAAAGGCGAGAAAACGCGCGCTAAAAGTTCCTGGAAAATACGTTGAACTGGCAGGTGACACATCCATGAAATGACACTTGTAATCGATCTCGAGCGAATCTCTTAACTGAAATTGCGCCAGGTCAATTTCTCACGACGTTTTACAAATCCCCTCGGTTCGGTCGACTGCAAGTGCCATTTTCTGAACACGTCGATTTATTTCAACGTACTTTGCAAGAATTTTTAGAGTGTACTTGCTCGCTGCGGACGTCGCATATAATTCAAGATAAACGCGCGACAGGGAAACAGAAGCTTCTTAACGTGTGTGTTAAATTTTGGGGGTGAGTCGACGAAATTGTGTGTGTGTGTGTGTGTGTGCAAAATCAATAATAACATTATTATTACTTACGCCATTGTATTGCGGATAATGCTTATCAAGGTAGGAAACGGCAATGTGCGTGGCGTGCGAGGCTTCCTCGCCGGTGCTCGACTCGCTTCGCGGTCTTTTACTTTCCTCCATATCTAAAGCTTCATCGCTACATGGGAAACGAAAGAATGAGTGTTTTTCAGCGAGCTGTAGTGAGCTTCTCGAGGTCGCGGTCGCAAGCAACGTACTAATCGGCCGCGTTATTAAACCGAAAAAGGGAGAGAACGGCGGCGGGGCGGGGGGAGGGGAGAAAGGCGGTTTAAATAAGTTTGAAGTGCCTTATTCTCTCCCCGCGTCAAGTATCTCATTCCGTGCGTACAACGTTTTCCATCGTACATATCCTCGAGAAAGGCAGCCCTAGGCTACGTCTTCAAACGTAAAAAAATCGCAATTTGCTCGAGCAACAACACTCGATGCTTATGGCACCAGGTATAGCGAAAGGTAAGGTGAGTTGAGCAAAGAGAAGTAAAGTAAAGAAAGGAGGTGGGCTTTTTGGGGGTCTGAACTGATTGAATGTGTTCCATCTTTGGCATATCGGCAAGAGGAAGAAATCTACAAATGGACGAGCTGTGTAGGCGATTGAAATAACATCTATTAGGCAGCAGGTAGAACATGATCGAGTGACCCAACGATATATTACTCATGAATCGGTCATTCGCTGATGCGTCTACCCGGGAACCGTGAGGTCGGTCTTCCGAGGCAATGCGTTACCGTCATCTCTTGTGCAGGGGTTTCGATTTCGTTTTTGGTGACGTGCTGACGACAAGTTCAGAGGGCAAACAATCGAAAAGGTTAGTTACCACCTCGAGTTGCTGCGCTTGCTCGCGTCTTGCTTCCCGGCCTGCAAATTCGGCAGTTCTTTCTGCCGTTTTTTCGTCTCCTTCCATATCCGCCAGTACAAGATCATCATTACGCAGACAGGAACATAAAACGCGGCGATGGCCGTGATGAAGGTGACGTAGTGATTCGTCTCGATGAATTGAATGTAACACGCGGTCTCCGGCACGGTCCTCTGACCCTCGATGTACGGCCAGCCGTAGATAAAGGGCGGCCAAAGAAGCAGCGAGATACCCCAGGCGGCCCCTGGAGAAAAAACACGACGGACGTCATCGCGGTGATATTCCCTCCGGTGTCCATTAACTCTTTGTGACCGCGCCGGGATCCGTTACACAACTATTCGAGATATCGCGACAAGTAAAGTACGTAAGTAACGTCAAGATATAATCACTCACTCCCCTCGGCTCTCGCCGATACGTTCGGCGAAAAATGCTTGACAATCGATTCAACGATTCTCTCTGAATAACGTAAAAACGTGTCGCGCGATTAATTATTTCCCGTCTGTGTGTGTGTGCGTGTGTGTGTGTGTGGCGCGCGTTTTACCGGGTCTCAGGTCTCTGACACTCACCGATCATAGTGAAGGCTTTGGCGTTGGTTCTCGTGGCGCGATAGGTGAGCGGCCGCGTGACGGAGAAGTATCTGTCGAAGCTGATGGTGAGCAGATTGAGGACCGACGCGTTGCTCGCGAGATAGTCGAGGGCGAGCCACAGGTCGCACACGTGGGAGCCGAGCGGCCAGTAACCGAGCACCGTGTACATCGTGAAGAGAGGCATGGAGATTAGGCCGATCGATAAGTCGGCCACCGCCAGGCTGAAGAGGAAGTAGTTCGAGATCGTCTGCAGTTGCTTGTCGATCTTGAACGATACCATGACCATTATGTTGCCAGCGACCGTTAAGAAACTCAGGACGACGGCGAACACCGCTATGAACACACGCGTCAATAGCCCGTATTCCTCGGGCTCAACGCCGCAGTCGAAGCCGTTGCCGACGTGGAGGGTGTCATTGGTGGGGAACTCCAACGTCGAAGTAACGTTCATGTCTGTGACGGACTGATTTCTCCCCCTCTCCTCTCTTTCTTCTTCTTCTTCTTCTTCCTTTTCCACTTCTTCTCTTCTTCTTCTGCTTCTTCTTCTTCTTCTTCTTCTTCTTCTTCCTTCTCCTCCTCCTCCTCCTCCTCCTCCTCCTCCTCCTCCTCCTCCTGCTCCTGCTCCTCCTCTTCTCTCGTCCACGTTCCCGCCTCGAGGTGCGTCCTACCCTCGACTCGGCGTTCCACGACCGGCACGACTACCGGCTCGCGTCGCGGGCGACCGCGCGTCCTCTTCTGGTATCCTTGCGAGCGGTCCGCTCGACTCGAACCCCGATCTTCGGGGTGACGTTGCCGCCTCCGCGATACCCTCTCTCCCTCGCCCACCTCCGGTCGCGTGGCCCTTTACCATGCGCGCGTTCGTACGCCGCTGGAGCGCGCGCTCGTCCACGCGGCAGCGCGCACGCCCGCCCGCTCGCACGCACGCACGCACGCAAGCACGCACGCACGTACGTACGCGCGATCGCGCGAACGCCACGCTTCCGGTGCTTCTCGTCGCGAAATACCTTCGGCGAACGGCCGCGCCTTCGCCGATGCTACCACGATCACGATCTCTTCCCTCCTTCTCCTCTTTCTTTTTCTTCTCCACTTCCACCTTCTCGTTTTCGTCTTTCTTCTGCTCCACTCTTCCTCCTCCTCCTCCTCCTCCTCCTCCTCCTCCTCCTCCTCCTCCTCCTCCTCCTCCTCGTTCCCCGCCTCCGTCGTCGTCGTCGTGCTCTTGGGTGGAAGGTAGCGTCAACTACATCCTACGCTTGCTCCTCTCGGCGGAGACATCGAGTCTGCGAGCAGAGAGACAGAGTGCTGATGTGTACCGATCGAAAAATCGCGGCGAGGAACAACGGGTGAGATCAACGGGGAAGCGAACGGGGAGCTACGGACTCGCGGTAATCGAGCACCGTCGAGAGCCGTCGCGCTCGCGGACGGGTGTATCCGTTTAATTGGACGTTGAGTCGGGAGGAGATTCGAGGTAGATGCTTTAATAAGAAAGTTACTCGAGACGGGCGCGGAGGGGGACCGACGGCGGAATATTCCGTTTTAAAGGGGCAATTTGAGGTAATCTAAGTTAGCGTGAAGAAAGTTACGCGTGAAATATATCGCGATCGCTTTTGTCCTTCTGGCGGAGCGTCGCGCGAGATACTGTTGAGATGGCTGCCTGACATCCGGTAGACGCAAGTCCGCGACGGATGAACTACCTGTCTTAATTCCCGGCGCGCACCGAGAAACACTTGAGCTGCGGCGTGATAAAAAAAGAGGAGAGAAAATAACGAAGTGAAAACGATGAAGAAGAGCGAGAGAGCGAGAGAGCGAGAGAGCGAGAGAGAGAGAGAGAGGGGGGGGGGGAGCGAGAGACACACGGAGAAAGGGTTCTTTTGTCGTACTTCGGCACGGCACGGGACTACCAGACGGGCCGCGAAAAGCGCAACCAATGCCGCGGGGCTTCCACTCCGTTTCCGTTGTCGGATCCGCAAAAGGCGCGCCTTTCTCCCCGACTACTGCTCCACTACTTTGTCTTTAACGAGCTACTTATTCGCCCCTCGCGCGAGCAAGACGCGTCGCCGCGCACGCGAGCGAAAATAAAGAGATGCGGGTGGGAGAGGCGAGAGAAAACGGCCGGGGTAGGGACGACGCTCGCGCGCGCGTTATCAAGCTGTCGCTTACGCGCTTCCGTCTCTCCTCCGAGCGCGCTGATGATAATGCGCTACTCCGCGATTCTCGCGTGTGTCACAGCGCGCGACGCTTATCGAGCACAAGACCGAGATAATGGATTCGATCGATGGATCCGACCGACGTTTCACCCTTTTCCCGTGGGTCAACGGCGATAACGGCGATTTCGACAATTTTCACTCCGCGATTAACACAAGCCGAGATATGCCTCGAAATGAAGAAATGAAGAAAAGCGGCAATAAAAGCGCGCCGCGATAGGTTGTCCCGATTTCGCGAAATAATAAGGAAAAAATTATTTTCTTGACACTCGCTGATTTGAGAATCCGTGCGCTCGTTTGTTAATATAAAATCCGCTCGCTCGCTCGAGCGTCGTGCTTCCCTACATTTTACGTGCGTTCGCGCGTCCGCGCGCGGATCTTCCGGTGCAATACGTCGCCGTGTTACACGGGATCCGGGATAACACTGGTGGCAGAGGTGGAGTGTTACGCAAGACGTCGGAAGACGCAAAGTTTCGGGCTTGTTGTCGTATGAAATCACAATTCGATAGTGCTCCGTTCGCGTCCTATGCCCTCGCCGAGGAAGAAACGGGCGGTGGCAGTGGCGGCGGCGCTCGCCCGATGCAAACTCGCAGTAGAACGAGACCTCGTGTAGCGGCGCACAGTGCACGGGGCGGCGCTCCAATTACGGACGTATTTCACTTAACTTGCCGACTGCTTGTCCCGTAAACGCGCCGCTTCGCCGCGCGACCCGGCGACCCGGCCTTAATACGCATAGGAAATTTTGCGAAATTTGGCGAATTAGATTCGCCTGTGTAGCGACGCATCTCTGAGAAAAGGCCCGTCGTCTTCTCTCTCTCTCTCTCTCTCTCTCTCTCTCTCTCTCTCTGTCGGCGGAGTCGGTTAATTTGAACAATTAATCGGCTATAAAATGCAGACTGCTCAGAACGATAAATAAAACGCATTTGCACACTAATGGATACCTCCCGCTCTTGCTCTCTCTCTCTCTCTCTCTCTCTCTTTGTGCCTGGAAAATTAAGAGTTTTTCTAACCCGACAGAAGGGGTCTCCCGGTCAAAGAACGCGTTTTCTCCTTCTCTCGAGTTTGCATGAGATTTCATAAACATTTGCGCTTGAAACGATATACTCGAATTACCGCGGATACTCTAAACAAATGAAAAGTAATCGCTCGGGCGACCGGAGTATTCTTCGGGTTCGGCCTAGATACTCGATTGAAGCACGACGACGAGCGAGCGACGGATCTTGCGGAAAGCTCCCGCAGATCCTCGATCGCTCGACGCTAGGAGACACGCGAGCGGAGGAAGGACGTGGGAAATAACGTACTCGATAACTGCCATAACTGCGACAGATTCCTCCTCATCGAATGCGGCCAGTTCGATATCCCTGGCGAGGCGGTCGAGCTGCGGCAAGGGCGTGGAAGGATGCATGTTGCGCCAGGTGTGCAACGCGATTACCTCCCCGTTAAGTGCGCATGGCATGCACGACGCCTGTAATTATAGAAACGCCAACGATATTGAAATCTTTCGTGAGAGTGGCTGTGCGGCCGCTGTGAAAATCACGTGCGCGAACACTCCCGTAGCGGCAAAATGAATTTTCTTCCGGAGGATCGAACGACTTTTGCGGGACGGCAGGCAGGCAGGCGGGCTCCAGTTTCAGCTATCTCGGAAGCTCGGAAATCGGTTTGAAAATTCTCTCTCTCTCTCTCTCTCTCTCTCTCTCTCTCTCTCTCTCGCGTGCGCGCGTGCCTCGGCTATATTTCGATAAAGAGAATTATGCACCTCTCGTCCTCTCCCTCATGGCAATCTATCATTCCAGATTCGTACACAGCGTGCAAGTGCGAAGCGTAGTTTAAATAACGTATCTTCCGCTTTCGGTGTCCTCGAATCTAGGCTTCCTACTCTACCGAGAGAAGCCCAGATTAATTTCTCCTTCGTCGGGAACGGAAAATTGCCGAGGTATCAGGCGACGAGACACCGCAACGTAACGTATCAGATACAATGGCGTTTACGTTGGTCGACATTTACCGCGCGAACAAAAGCCCTCAGACTTTGTTGTTATTCATTGGTATTAACGTTTCCGCGACTGTGTTTTCCTCGGCAGCGAGTAGGCGCAAACTTCAGTATCGAGCTTCTCCCGTAACGCGAAGGTCGAACGGCGTCGTGTCCGCCTCGAGATAATCGGAAGCGAGTGACGGGACGTCGTTCGAAAATCGATACGGCTTGTAATTTTTACCTTCTAACGAAGGTAACAGAGTCTAACGAGACTCTGAATTGTTCATCTTTCTAGGTAGCCTCGTTTTACGTTCGGAGCGCGCAGAAAGAGTTCGTCGAATCGAATATCTTATTGATGATGCCTTTAAGATATTAGATACTTTGTTTTAATAACTTTAATCTTACCGCTCGTCAGGCTCTCTCTCTCTCTCTCTCTCTCTCTCTCTCGCACGCGCGCGCAAGCAACACATAAACCGACGAGACGGCAAGAAAGAAAAAACGTGCGCGATAAAATAAAAAAATCTCGAAAGATGAAAGCATATCGAAATGGCATGCAATGAGCGTGCACGCGTAGGGATTATTTTGACTGCTAAAGTGCAACAGAGTGTTACAGATGGTCTCAGGACCAAGGCGGCATTTAAGCCAGGCAGTGTGGACGTTTGCCAAGAAGTCGGCGATAGTATTACGCCGCTATCGCTCTGCTTTACGCACTATGAAGCCCGGAGTTTTTTTACGGGAAAGCCAACTGCATCATCGGCACCTAATCTGCCCGCTATCGTAAAAAAAACAAAAAAAAAAGAACGCGCGGCCAAACTGTGTCTTCAAAGATATCTCAAATAATCGCGCACGTATATGCGTGTCTCGCGCGTTGTCAACTTGTCAATTGATGCGCATCTCACATTTAGAACTTATCGTCATTAATACCGGAGAACGAGCGACGGTCAAAAATGACCGATTTGTAATTTGTTCGAAAAATTATTCACATTTATATAACGATGCATTTCGTATTTTCAATTGACGTGGAGTAAGATTGGAGAAAAAAGAACATTCTTGCCGTAAGCATAACGTATTTTTCCAAAACTCTCTCGCTTCTCTCTGCGCTCTGATAGGGAAATAGGTCGTGTCGACTGCCGGTAGTTGTAGCGTTAACTATGGGCAAAGTCTCATTGTCCACCCCCGTGGGCCCTAGCCCGTTTCGTCATCCACATCCGTGTATTCCGCACTCGTACTCGTAGCGATCGCTCAGAGCTTCAGCACGCAGAGCGGGGGGGGGGGGGAGGGGTGGATCGTCACACACGACGCCGACGACGACTCGCTCCTCAACAGCTGCGCGAGCTGTTTGTGGATTTCCTAATCCACGGAGGACACTCAGAGACGCAGAGAGAGAGAGAGAGAGAGAGAGAGAGAGAGAGGCTTTCTCGCGGGAGACCTGCGTCGCGTCGATTCATTTCAGATGGTAACGCGAATCACAGCGTACGTTATATATGTGTACAACTATAGTTACAGCACCGCCTCGCAGCGTGTCCGATCCGCTGGAGAATAGGCGCTGACGCGGCAGACGGTTGCCAGGTGGTAGCTTCATTGGCTGACCCTACGTCACGCGACCTGCTCCATAAATAAATATAGAAACGCATCGAGAGACGCGGTATCGTTAACGTCGTCGTGCTTCGGTATAACGAACACTGGCCTTAATTAGTTTGTTAATACGCTTCAGACGATTCATACGAGGCGCGTGCGCGCGCGCGCGCACGACTTGTATCAATATGCACGATGCCGGGAAAATGCAAACCAAGTCCGTAGCTTGAGACATTACGGGGGCGATCGTAAGGAGCGTGTCGGTTCTTCCTCTTCGTTTGGACCGCGAGGGATGATTTAACGTCGCGGCGAAAAAAGGTCTCAGAACCATCTGGCTAGCTCGATACAAGAACAGCCGACGTCGTCGACGTGCTCTTGCTGGCTCGGCGAGTAGAAAATAGCGGAAGAGCGGAGAGGAGAAAATCTCCTGTACGTTCAGTCCGGGCCACTCGAGCGTCCAGTCGGTTAGACCCAAACGGTAATTGTTTTCGCTGTGTTCTCTTACTTCTTTTGTAAAAGGGGCTGTGACGACTATCGTTAAAATATGCCCGTGGATTCCCCGGCTCTGCGAGAGCGCTCTCGGACGCTCGAGATTCACACTTCTCTCCACTCGGCTTGTCACGTCGAACTCACGGACATTGATTGCGCCGCCGAGAGGTCGTGATATCTCGCGTCTGAGGAGCGAGTCTTGAGATTTAATTGCGAACGGCTAGGTGCGCGCTGTAAGGTAAATTGGAAGTGAAATCGTCACGGCGGACCCGCGGTCGCGTCGGCCGGGCCAGCCGGAGAAATCTTGGCGCGTTGTCGGCATTACGGGAAAGTACGTAATGCCGTTTAAAATAACGAGGGCGACAGCTATACAGCGCTTGCAACGCGCTGATAACTCTGCAGCGGCGCGTGTGCGCATTCAGCGCGAACAATGCGAGCGATCTTTTAAAAGAGATCGACTTGGCTGTACAGAGTCAGCGCGGATGGACGATGAGTATTAAAATCACTTGCGTCACACTTCTCTCTGCTGTTCTCCGTTAAGTGGACAGGTATCGTGTGCCACGCGCGATTATTCGCTAACGCCGGGATGCGTGTTTAATAATACGCAGTGCACAATGTTCGTCGTATCGTGCGATCGGACATCCAAGTCCTTCGCGGCACCCACGTGCTTCACTGCTCGCTCGCTCGCTCGCTCGCTCGGAATATCATATATAGGGCTCTCGCTTACGCGCGAATATACGAGCGCGAAAGAAACGAGTCTGCGTGGCTGAGATCTCGCGCGAAAAGGGACTCTCTCTCTCTCTCTCTCTCTCTCTCTCCTCTCCTCCCTCTCTCTCTCTCTCTCTCTCTCTCTCTCTCTCTCTCTCTCTCTCCCGGCTTGGCGCGTTTGTCGTACCGACGACGGGGAGACAGTCATTGAAAATAACGAGGGTGACGGTATTTTGGACGGTGTTTGAACTTTGCTCTCGGTGTGTTGTTGAAGTCGTCGAAACGCTCGCGTCGCAGTTCGAGCACGGTGGACGCATATACGGACGTATCTCTTTCGCGTAATCCACTCTGAGCATCTCCGTTATTAATTTCTACCTTTTGATTTACCGCGCGCCAAGCTGTTTGCGCGGACAAACCCAGCGGTGCGGTGGAAAAGATCCTCCGTGAGCGACGTAGGAGCGAGACTCGCGGGATACCGCATATATAAAAAGCGAATCCGTTATTTCTCACGTTAGCGCATATGTTCCGGCGGAGTGATCGCAACCAGTCAGTATTGCCGAGATATTTATCCTTTGGAGGATCTGTGTAAATGCTTTCCGACTCTCTCGCGGAAAATGTAAAAATAATGTTTCAGCCGCGTGTAATAATGTAAACACTTTTATCGGCTATCGATTTCGGTCGACCTGCGCCGCTTCTTTTATTACGGGGGATATATATCGGGATATGTGATCCGAGATAGATGCGGCTAAGTCTAAGCCGCGATATTAACGAAAGTCGATCGTCGGCTTTGCGCGGAAGGCAGCTTCCTGCCTTCGCGAAAGCGACCGGTACTGGCGATGGTGGTGACAGTGGCAGTGGCAGTGGCGGCGGTTCTTTCGCGTGTTCGCGATTAAATGATGCATCCGAGAAGCCTAACATAATAACGACTAAATGGAAAAAATAGCAGAAGGTCGTGATCCACTTATATACATCTTGGCTTATTACGAGGCGTTACAAGCCCGCCGCCATTGCGGCTGCCTCGGCGCTACAGTTGAACTATAAATAAATTTTCCGATACGCTGCTCTTTTTGCCGAGAAAAAAAAAAAATATATATATATATACATACATATGCATGTATATATATTTCTTCCTTGTGTGTATGCACGCGCGTACGCGTACGTGTAAACTGCGATTAACTGTGCATATTTTTACGGGCACAGACAGCCATCGTCGTCGGCGACCGTTCGGATCTGCGCGGCACCCCGTTTTACCGAAACACGTACAAGAAATTCTGACATGCAGCGCGAAGAAAAACTGCTTTTCGAAAATTAAAGTCCGCCCGGATGAATCGCGCGGTGTGCCGAAGCCGCTCCATAAATAACCTTTGATATTTCATTGATGAGAAAGAGAGAGAGAGAGAGAGAGAGAGAGAGAGAGAGAGAGAGAGAGAGAGAGCACTTCTTTGTTTTGCGCTCGAAAAGGTTACGAAGGTATGTAATAATAAAGTGTGTTACTTCTCGGACGTTAAACATTCGTCTTTCTCTGTCGAGTCGGAGAGCGTGCGCGCGCGTGCGCGCGCGTGCGCGCGAGTTTAACTAGATATGCTCGCGAAATAAAAATTAAAATACGAGGAACAAGGAGAGTAATCAGAAGCGAAAATTAAAGTCGAAAACAAGATTCGTCTGCGTGCTCTCTCTCTCTCTCTCTCTCTCTCTCTCTCTCTCTCTTCACCGCACCGGCGGTGCACCACGCCCCGTACATTCCCGCTCGCCTAGGAGAGAAATTTCGTTCCCACTGCGGAGTTAATTAACATTTAACTTCGTTAATGTAATCAACTATATTGATTATAGAGTTGAAATTGTGAGCAAATGCTTGGATTAAGTTGGCCAAAGGCTTTGAAATAATCGCGCTTGTATGTTGTTGTCGTCGTTTCATGTCACTCCCACCCCTAAAGCCACCGCCGTCGTCATGACCTCCGCGCTCCTTCTCGCAGGAAAGAAGGATCCCAATTGTACATAGAAGGAATGTTGTATCAATCGTCGCGCACACCTTCCCGTTTCAACGGGGTGAAACAGGTGGCACTCGCTATTACCGCTGCGGCTTTTATTACATTTTGCTCGCGAGTAGACATAAATGGGACATGTCGATCGAATTACTTCTAACGCGCGCCATACCTGACGATGAGGCGGACTATGTATATACATATATTGGCGCGCAGCGACGGTACGGTTAGGTCGGAGATGTCTCTTAAGAGAAAACGGTAGATGTATGTACAACCTAATTCGGTAGAGTATAACACATAGTCGCTGGCCAGGTATTTCTTGTCGATATACACGGTGCATCGGAAGTCCCCGTGCTCTCTCTCTCTCTCTCTCTCTCTCTCTCTCCTCTCTCTCTCTCTCTCTCTCTCTCTCTCCCATTTGCGAATTGCTTCGCTGATTCCCCTTTCAACAGCAATTTACTCGGGAGGAGGGGCGAATGTTTAAACGACCACAACACAAGCGACAGACAATACAAGCGAGCCGAAGATGACGAACGAAATTTGGGCAACAACTTGACAGACGAGAGAACGTCGTGCAACAAAAAAGGCGAAATGTTTACTTTGCCACGAGAATAGGTAGCACGGAAATCGACAGGATTGAGCGTAATTTTCAAATGTACGCGATCGCGTGTCATCTCTCATAAATAGATCAAGCCCCGAACTCTTTGAAAACTCGGCGGAGAACGTGCGATTTCTGATACACCCTTTATAGTCTCGCGCCAAAGCCTCGCCTTTGCGTCAAAGAACTTGAAGCAACACCTTCGAGACGCGTAGAAGATCGAGGTCGAGGCATTATTCTTTCTTCCGGAATACCACGAGAGACCGACGAACCTCCGGCTTCTATTTCCTAATGGAACATCAGCGTGCAGCGCCGCTTGCTTGCGATCGCGATTAAAAGGCGTGCTTCCTCCTCGTTCGCGATGCAATTTCAGCTGGCGCTAACGGAAAGATCGGGCCGTTAAAAAACCCGAGCACCGAATACTTTGTTTCAGTATTGGGCGAGCCACGACCTGTGTGTCTCTGTGTCTATATGAGAGAGAGAGAGAGAGAGAGAGAGAGAGAGAGAGAGAGAGAGGAACATTATTATTATTTCCTTCTTCGAAACAGATTGCGCCGCAAAAGAGGCAACAGG